TGTTATTTGTATTTTTTATACACAAATTTTGATAATTATAAGAATGCCTCAATTGAACTCTTAAAAAATTCACAAAAGACGGTAAGTGTAATGAATATGTGTGTGTATATATATAGTAATATTTGTTATAGAAATTTTCACACACACACAGATAGAGAGAGAGTAAGACAGAGAAAATGAAAAGCTTTCTATTTCTTGTCTATCCAAGTAGTACACATTCATGGCCTTATATAGGCTCAAACATTAGCTTCCCAAACAAGCCTTATTATGGCTTTCATTATAAGCAAAAGTGGGCTTCCTTTGTACGCCCAAGAATGTCAATATTGTGGGCCGCATATATATAACACTCCCCCTTGGGGTCCACAATACTACACTAAGAATATGCCTCGTTAAAACCTTGTTAGGAAAAACCTAGTGGGATAAAAACCCAGCGAAAGAAAAAGAGTACAATATCCTTGTGTCATTGAAAATGGTATTGCATAGGTTAAAACTACCTCATTAAAACCTTGACAGGAAAACCTAGTGGGATAAAACCTGGACAAAGGAAAAAGAGTACAGTATGCTAATACCCCTTTGATCAATTGTTCACCCTCATTAGTTCAACCCTGAAGATCCTTTAGTTGACGCATTCTAATATTGTGTACCAACTTCTTGAATGTTGTAGTTGGAAGCGTTTTAGTGAATAAATCTGCTAGATTATCACTTGAGCGTATCTGCTGAACATCAATATCACGGCTCTTTTGGAACTCGTGTGTGGAAAAGATTTTTGGTGAAATGTGATTGGTTCTGTCACTTTTTATGTATCCTCCTCTTACCTGTGCAATACATGTCGTATTATCTTCATATAATATTGTTGCACTATCTTTGATTGAGGCGATTTCGCATGATTCTTGAATATGTTGTATAACAGATCTCAACCAAACACACTCTCTACTTGCTTCATGAATTGCGAGTATCTCAGAGTGATTTGAGGAACTTGCAGTCATGGTCTGTTTCATAGATCGCCATGATATAACAGTACCACCACAAGTAAACAAGTACCCTATTTGTGATCGGGCTATATGTGGGTCAGAAAGATAACCTGCATCTGCATATCCGATCAACTGGGGCTTTAATTTTCTTGAATAAAACAACCCCATATCAGTCGTTCCCCGAAGGTAACGCATAATGTGCTTGACTCCATTCCAATGTCTTCGAGTTGGTATAGAACTATACAGTGCTAGTAAGTTGACTGCAAATGCAATATCAGGTCTGGTACAATTTGCAAGGTACATTAGAGCACCGATTGCACTAAGATATGGTACTTCAGGACCAAGAACTTCTTCGCCTTCTTCCAGAGGACGAAAAGGATCTTTCTTAACATCAAGTGTTCGGACAATCATTGGAGAACTCAACGGGTAAGCTTTATCCATATAAAAGCGCTTCAGGACTTTTTTAGTGTATGTTGACTGATAGATAAGAATTCCACTTGGTAAATGTTCAATCTGCAGGCCGAGACAAAATTTTGTTTTACCAAGATCTTTCATTTCGAATTCTTTCTTTAAATAATTAGCAATCGTGGTGAACTCTTCAGGAGTTCCCACAAGATTTAGATCGTCAAATAATACAGCTATAATGGCAAATCCAGATTTTGATTTCTTGATGAAAATGCATGGACAAACTTGATTATTCACATATCCTTCTTTTAGTAAATACTCGCTGAGTCGATTGTACCACATGCGTCCGGATTGTTTCAATACATACAAAGATTGTTGTAACTTGATTAAATACATGGTACGTGGTTTCAAGCTATTTGGTTCAGGCATTTTAAATCCTTCAGGGATTTTCATATATATGTCACTATCTAGTGACCATATAAATAAGCTGTAACCACGTCCATCAGACGCATATCCAGTGCTTCTGAGACTGTCAAACTGATCAAAAAGCGAAATGCGATTGCATCCATCACAGGAGAGTATGTCTCTTCATAATCAATATCAGGTCTTTGTGAGAAACCTTGGGCTACAAATCGGGCTTTGTATCTTACAATTTCATTTTTCTCATTATATTTCCTTACAAATACCCATTTGTACCATACAGGCATGACATCTTCAAGTGTCTGGACTACAGGTCCAAATACTTCACGTTTTGCTAATGAGTTTAGCTCTGCCTGTATTGCTTCTTTCCATTTTGGCCAATCATTTCTACATCGACACTCTTCGATGTTTTGAGGTTCAGGGTCCTCATTAGCACCTGCAATATCAAAAGCAACTGCAAAGGAGAATATATCGTTAATAATACTCCACATTTCATGCCTTAAATGTGCTCCTGCAGTAGCAATATAGAGAGCGCAGATTTACCAAATATTCTAAGCTGATTCTTGTTTGTTGGTGGCTAAACAGAATAATGAGCTTTTGATGCAAAACCACCAGTCCCGTCCCACTGGATCTGTACCATTCCCAGAAGCGAATGTGTCATCATTTCATGGCCATAGACGTGAATGTGGACACAGACGTCGTGGTGGTCGTAGATATGGTCGCAATAGAAATAATGATAATAATCGTGGTGGTCATAATTTCTCATTGGTTCCCAGAAGGAACTCCACACCGTCCCACCAGAAGTGGAATTCAAATGCGACTAAGCAGGCAAAAGAAAAAGCTTTGCAGAACAAAGCTCCTGAGATATATGATGACAAGCCTTGCTATAGATGTGGAATGAAAGGTCATTGGTCGCGTACCGTACACCCAAACATCTAGTTGATCTTTACCATGCCTCAATGAATGATAAAGGAAAAGGAAAGGAAATTGAAATGAATTTTATGGATGACGACTTACAAGTTGATATTACTCACTTTGATGTTTCTGACTTCATTGCTAATCCTAGTGCTAGTATTAATCATTTGATTGGTGATGGAAATGTCTATACCAATTAATGTGTACTTTTCTAGTATGTTATTCCTTGTGTGTTTTAGCTTATCTGTATCAATATGTCTCTATCTAGGTTGTACTAGTATGTTTTTATTTTGGCTGTCTTGCATGTAAATCTAGTTTGTATTTCAAGTTTGAAGTAATGAAATATATATTTTGTGTATATGAAGAAGCATTCCAGGGCATGCATATCTTCTGGGACTTCTTGCTTATAAAATTTAGATTGATCAATCATTTTCGTTGTTCCTTTTGCAAGTGTGACCTCTGCAGGAGCGCCAATTGCTTTATTTGATTTCTCTTGTGCTTTCCTCTTCCAGGGAACAGTGTCTTTTGCGCCAACTGGTCTACCACGCTTCTGGCGTGTCTTAGATGCATTTGCAATAACACTGACAGACTGTCCTACAGGGACATCAATTCTTGCTGGAATATTTGCAGCTGGTATATGTGATTTCATCACTTTCTTTGTGTCAGTGAATGCATCGGGTAATTGATTTGCAATACTTTGCAAATGAATGATCCTTTGAACTTCCAGTTCACATTGATTTATGCTAGAATCTAAATGAGATAAAGTTGAAACATTCAAATTAATAACTCGTTGCTCTTCTGGCTTTTTCTTTTCTCCCCTTAATGAAGGGAAAACAGACTCATCGAAATGACAGTCAGCAAACCGCGCCTTAAAAACATCACCTGTCATAGGTTCAAGATATCTAATGGACCCATTTTAGTGCGTTGTGGGGGTGCAATGGGAACATATACAGCGCAACCAAAAACTCGTAAGTGAGAGATACTTGGTTGTTAACCTATCACAAGTTGTAGGGGTGAAAAACTATGATATGCAGTTGGTCTAATGCGAACTAGTGATGCTGCATGTAATATCGCATGTCCCCAAGCAGAAACAGGTAGTTTAGTTCTCATGAGTAATGGTCTAACTATTAACTGAAGACGTTTGATAAAAGATTCTGCAAGACCATTTGGGTGTGAGTGTGTGCAACAGGATGTTCAATAAGGATGCCAATTGACATGCAATAGTCATCAAATGATTGAGATGTAAATTCTCCGGCATTATCAAGACAGATAATCTGGATTGGATAATCCGGAAATTGTACTCGTAATCGGATTATTTGAGTAAGGAGTCGAGCAAATGCAACATTACGAGTAGAAAGTAAACTTACGTGTGACCACCGTTTTGATGTATCAATTACGACCATAAAATACCGAAATGGTCCACACACTGGATGAATTGGTCCACATATATCCCCTTGAATTCGTTGTAAGAATGGTAGGCATTCAACAATGACCTTGGAAGGTGATGGTCTAACTATTAATTTACCCTGTGAACAAGCGATACAAGGATAATCATTTGCTAAAAGAATCTTCTGGTTCTTTAGTGGATGACCATGTGAATTTTCAATGATTCGGCGCATCATTGTTGACCTAGGATGACCAAGGTGATCATGTCAAAGTATAAAAATATTTGGGTTAGAGCACTTCTGGTGCGTCACTGCATGTGACTCAATTACTCTTATATTTATATAATATAATCCAGAAGATAAAGTAGGGAGTTTTTCTAATATATGCTTCTGGCATGTAATACAGAGATATTCAACGCCCCCTTCATTTATAGTCTCAATATGATAACCGTTGAGACGTATATCTTTAAAACTTAATAAATTTCTTTTGGATTTGGTAGAGTATAGAGCATCATCAATATTCAATTGTGTTCCATATGGTAACACAATGATAGCTCTTCCGGAGCGTTCAATTAGATCTGCTGGACCTGATATTGTATTGACACGAGCTTCAACTAATGTTATACTCGAAAAATATTTTCTATTTCGGAGTATAATGTGTGTTGTTGCATTGTCTGCCAGACATATATCTTCACCATTTATCTTGGGTACAGTCAATGCCTTAGTCAGATCCATGCTTCTTCATATACACAAAATATATATTTCATTACTTCAAACTTGAAATACAAACTAGATTTACATGCAAAATAGCCAAAATAAAAACATACTAGTACAACCTAGATAGAGACATATTGATACACATAAGCTAAAACACACAAAGGATAACATGCTAGAAAAGGACACATTAATTGGTATGGACATTTCCATCACCAATCAAATGATTAATACTAGCACTAGGATTAGCAATGAAGTCAGAAACATCAAAGTGAGTAATATCAACTGGTAAGTCGTCATCCACAAAATTTATTTCAATTTCCTTTCCTTTTCCTTTATCATTCATTGAGGCACGGTAAAGATCAACTAGATGTTTGGGCGTATAACAGGTACGCGACCAATGACCTTTCATTCCATATCTATAGCAAGGCTTGTCATTATATATCTCAGGAGCTTTGTTCTGCAAAGTTTTTTCTTTTGCCTGCTTGGTCGCATTTGAATTCCACTTCTGGTGGGAGGGTGTGGAGTTCCTTTTGGGAACCAATGAGGAATTATGACCACCACGATTATTATCATTATTTCTATTGCGACCATATCCACGACCACCACGACGTCTGCGTCCACGATCACATCCATGGCAGTGAAATGATGATACATTCGCTTCTGGGAATGGTACAGATCCAGTGGGACGGGACTGGTGGTTTTGCATCAAAAGCTCATTATTCTGTTTAGCCACCAACAAACAAGAATCAACTCAGAATATTTGGTAAATCTGCGCTCTCTATATTGCTGCTGCAGGAGCACATTTGAGGCATGAAATGTGGAGTATGTTTTTTCCAACATATCATCATCAGTGATTTTTTCTCCACATAATTTCAATTGTGAGCTGATTTTAAACAAGGCTGAATTGTACTCACTTACACTTTTAAAATCCTGCAATCGCAGGTAGATCCAGTCATAACGAGCTTTTGGAAGTATCACAGTTTTCTGATGCTCATATCGTTCTTTCAAATTTTTCCACAGTGTAAGTGGATCCTTAACCGTGAGGTACTCTGTTTTTAATTCCTCATGGAGGTGATGGCAAAGAAAGATCATGGTTTTTGCACGGTCCTGCAGGGACGCATTATTTTCTTTCTTAATTGTTTCACCGAGATTCATGGCATCCAAGTGAATCTCGGCGTCAAGGATCCATGACAAATAGTTTTTGCCCGAGATATCAAGTGCCACAAATTCAAGCTTGGTAAGATTTGACATTATGAACTATAAATGATAAAATAACATAATTAGAATTATTTCACAAAAAGAATAATCAATTTGAAATTATAAAAATACTACAGTCACTATAATGTGATTTGTCAGTAAATATATAATGTCAAAAGTTAATCATGTGCTTTCAGTAAACAAAACAATAACAAAAAGACAAAATATGTTTACACTAAAAGGCACATATAATTTATATTTCTACGTTTTGCAAAACTTCATGTTTGTAAGGGTACTTAGTGTAAATGACTTCAGGTCAAAGAATTTCAGATTCATTTGGACTTTAGGCCAACAAATTTTGCAAAACTTCGGGTTTGTAAAGAGTACCAAATATTTGTGAAACTTCAGGCTCACAAAGAGTATATTAATATATGCAAAACTTCGAGTTTGCAAATTAAACAATTTAGTATTTGCCAGACTTCGGGCTCAGCAATTTACTTTTCAAGGATGGACAGAAATATTCTAATATAAATAAATAGTTGCGAGACCGCAGGCTCAACAATTTTAATTATATGTAAAATTTAAACAACAACAGGTTAATATAAATAAGTATTTTTCTTACCCTTTGAAGTGAGAAAGAAAAGTAGAATTTTCTTCTCAGTTGACAGAGCCTCGTGCTGATAACATGTAATGAATATGTGTGTGTATATATATAGTAATATTTGTTATAAAAATTTTCACACACACAGATAGAGAGAGAGTGAGAGAGAGAGAGAGAGAAAAAAAAAAATGAAAAGCTTTCTATTTCTTATCTATCCAAGTAGTACACATTCATGGTCTTATATAGGCTCAAACATTAGCTTCCCAAACAAGCCTTATTATGGCTTTCGTTATAAGCAAAAGTGGGCTTCCTTTGTGCGCCCAAGAATGTTAATATTGTGGGCCCCATATATATAACAGTAAGAAAAATGACTCCTTATTTGCCTAACAAAATTTTAAAAATAAAAAATACCATGTCTTTTCTCATTTGGGGTCCCACAAAATTTTTAAGAATCACCAAAAAATAAAAAAATAAAATAAAATAAAATAAAAACCCACTAACTTAATTTTCTGATTCCGCCACTAACCGGGTAATACAACCAACCCGTCGGAGTTGCACCCTAGCGTTCACCTCTTTATCATTCGTCGTTTTCCTACGGAACAAACACGTCTTCTAAGTTTGAACTAGAAGAAGATGATTATGGAACAGTTTAAGAACATTAAGAGGCTCAATTGAAGTAGTATTCTTTGTCTGAATCAGTGAAAATATGGATAGGATAAATAGCATAAACAAAAAATAAAAGAGAGATCACATGACACATATCAGGTGTTGAATATGTTAAATCATCTCTTATGGATAGGATAAATAGTATAAACAAAAAATAAAAGAGAGATCACATGACACATATCAGGTGTTGAATATGTTAAATCATCTCTTATTATTGTTAACCCCATTTTTTTTTTTTGCACCTTCCTGGTTTGTCAAGTGAAAAGAAACCAGGCCTATTGAGCCAGGGCCGGCCCTGTGCATAGGTGGCCTAGATGGTTGCTTAGGGCTTCCAATTTGGGCCAAATTGAAATAATAATAATAATAATAATAATAATAAAATAAAATAAAAATAAAATTTAAGACATGGGCCAAACATATATATATTTATATATAAAAGGCCTCATATTTGAAAATTTGCCTAATACTTCTCAAAATTTTGAGAATATTAGAGTTGACCCTGTGTTGAGCCATCAGGTTGGATAAAACTTTGGTGATAAAATGGGTTTAATCTTACAAGAGAATAGGGGTCAACATGAATAATTGATACAGTAAATAATCTTGGATATACAAATTATATTTAGAAAGGGCTAAATAATTCACAGTTTCACAAACCAAACTTGTATATACATACTCATTCATATGTCATGTTTTGGGCGGACACCCAAGTCTTTTATTCTAACCCAACTTGTAAGGCGGACAACTATCTTTGAAATTTCTCGAAAGAGAGATATTTTTAGATAATTTTCACACAAAAAAAAAACAAAGAAATATTTTCCGATAATTTCCACAAGAAAAAACTAAGAAATATTTTCAGAGCTAGTGGTTGTCTCAGTCGGATCACAATTTGGGTACAATATTACAGTCTAAAGAATATTATATATATATATATATATATATATATATATATATATATTTAGATATGTAGACCCCTAAATGTAGTGGTGGAGACTTGGCTTGCTCAATCCAAAGAAACCTCGACACCAGCTCAATGTAACATTCGAGGCCTTCGTCAAAATCTCCTTCTTAAAAAATAAAAAATACCATGACTTACGTTTGTTGAACTTGGGTATTTAAATTTTGGGGTAATTTTTTCAAATAGCTTTAAAAAGATTTGGAGTCTTTAGTAAGTTAGGGTATATATATATTTAAAAGTCTGTCAAAATTTTCTTATTTAATGCAGCAAGAGTATATATAATTTAATAAGAAAAATAAAGAAATGTTTGAATCAAAAGGGTTAAGAATGAGTAGAATTAAAACATTGTATTATATTTCATTCGTGCACACCAAACATAATAGTAATTTTGTCCCCCTTGTTTTTTTTTTTAAGCATTAAATACTTATAATTTTTAACTTTTTCAATTATATACCAATGAAATTTAATATTGCCCCCTCATGAAATTACAAAAACAATTCACTTTTATCTCCTATCACACACTAAGCTGGGTCTGTCCCTGATTATAGCTATACGCATTGTAAAAAAAAAAAAAAGAAAAAGAAAAAAAACAATAATAAAAACTTATAGAGAGACAAAGCCGCGCGTGAACTTCTTGCCAAAATAATGTGTATATATATATATATATATATATATATATAGAGAGAGAGAGAGAGAGAGAGAGAGAGTAAAGGATACAAATTCCCTGCCATTTGAAAACTTTGTATTGAACTGCAATTTGCATAGTTATTGTGTTGAAATAATTTTATTATTTTAACTTTGATAAAAATAAAAATAAAAAAGAATTAGAATTGCAAAGAAAATATTAATAATAATCATGTTAGAACACTTAAACATGCAATTCACAATCCTAATTAATTTAATCCAATATTTTTAGATCTCTGGTGAAAAGTTAGGAAAAACCTGACATTTTGTGTTTTTGCCGTTGACCGTTTTAGTATCTGTTGCCGTACTTCCACTAATTAGTCTTTACTCTGATTTTAAAAGGGTAACTCAATTTTCTTTAGTCATTACTCCGATTTTATTTTTTTCTATTGTGATCGTTCCACATCCTCCTTAATTTTAAATATTAAAATGGCCATGAGCATAAAAGTTTTATGGAAGCATCAGAAACAAATAATTAGTTAAAAGAGAAACACGTTTAGTCAAAAAAATATAATTTACTAAGCCTAATTAATGACAATGAGGCTTAGAATTCAAAAATAGGTAATTAGTTGAGTTATATAGTTTTCAATAATCCAAAAAAGAAAATCACAAAAAAATCTTATTCATTAAATTATGTGGTAAATGTATTTGAATTGGATTGGACTTATGTGCGAGCTTAAAAAAATTCATGATCACAATAACCGATTTCATCAACTCACATTTATGTTGGCGGCTACCTCTAGAACTGTGACCCAACATTAGAGATAACCACAGATTGGATTAAATTTGATTTTAACATTAAATATAATCCAATCTTATCCCTATGCATCGAATGAAAATTGAATTCAATTCGATCATTACTTTACGAATTTAATTGGACTGGATCGGATCGAATTAATTGGGATTGAGCTTTTCCCAAACATCCCAATATCAGTATTTTTTAACCATAAATCAATAGATAATTTTAAACAACCTTACCAATGACTCAGTAGGTAACTCATCGTATCCAATTCACAACAAGTAATAATAAGGTTGTTCACAGTGTAAAACATAAATGTTTGAGCCTTAAAAAACAATAATGATACTGGAATCTTGTATAATTAATATATATATATATATATATATGTTTTTATAAATTTGAATGGATTAAGTTAATGTATCCAATCAATTTTATAAAACCTTGATCTATTAACCGATTCTTGAACTGTGAAATTTTTATTTATCATTCTGTAACTGAATTGTAAGGCTCAAATCAAATTAGCACCACTACCTAACACTAAAAGTAATTCTCCTAATAGATCTAAAGAATAATGAAAAAAAAAAAAAATAGTGAGACTCACATATCCAAAAATTAAATAAATAATAAAAAAAAGTAATAAGGTGATTACCAATATTCCTATATTAATATTAATATTAATATTAATATTAATAATAAAAGCAGCAAAAATGTTGTGTATCTTGAACCAAGAAGAAACTTGCAATGACATAAAGAGGAGCGGTGAGCGCGACCATTCGAAGACGTCCCCAAACATGGGATATGTAAGCAAGAACAATCACCAGAATTGTTGATAAACAATCTATATTTACAACCATAAAAAAAATACTGAGTGGTACAATACCAAAGGCAAATGAGGCACGCGGTAAAAAGATAATACAGTCACAAAGCAAATGTTTCAAACCAGTCCTCCTTTGACGGAGTTATGACAACCAACTCCTACCCATATTGAGTGGATCACTCTGCTGTCAAAACAAAAGCAAGAACCTGCTGGTCATTTCATTACTACTTCGACTTGCTCATCAATCCTTAAAACTAGAAGAACCGAACCGAGTGCTAAACAAACAAAATAAAACTAGGTTAATTACTCTTATAAATAACAAAATGGTGGCACCAAAACTTTATTGGAAACGGACGCATTAAAAAGATAAACTTTTGATGAGGTTTGGAATAGATTCTACTAATAATTTTTTGCGGATATCTAAACGAGCGTGTTTCTCTCTGCAAGGAGATGAACTTGATATATTTACTTTCTCAAATCCGTTTCCGGGTGAATAAAAAATTAACTCCAAAGTATGGTGTTTTGATAAGCCTAAATGGGTATGCAAAATATGGAAAGTGTTTGTCTCACATGAAAAAAAAAAAAAAAAAAT